TGTTTTGACCCTGTATGCGTTTCTTTGCTACGCTGCAAAAATGACTTTCCTGCTCAATATTTTTGTCTTGTAGTCCAGTATAAATAATTTAACATATGTAAAATAAGATACATTTACTTTAAGATGTTTTTACAAACTGATGTAAGATAACAGGTCTTGTGTTTAGAGAAATCAACCACAATTTTCTAAGGTTTATGATTAAAATATGAAAAAAAAATGCAAATAGGGTAGGAAAAATACATTTGTTTTCCTTTTGAATTATATTTATATATCTTATATATATATCCAAAAGATATCTTGGCCACAAATTAAAAAAATTGTTCCCATAATTTATTTTGTTCCCTCATTTTAGGTAAATTGTGACTATGATTTAATTCAATTAAAATGAAGGAACTGATTATTACAACCTGGCCGTGATTTAAATAATTTTAAATTCTCATTTTAGTGAAACCATGTTCTGTTTTTTTCCCCTTTCCTTGTGGAATAATAAATATAGGGCCTAATTGGAAAAGTTAATCAGGCAAATTTATGGCAATTTTTATGTGTGAAATTTGGCTGTTGATAGTAGGGGAATCTTATATATTTTATCCATCATGTATGTACTGTACATATATAGATTTGTACATTTTATATGTTGTAGCAGCTTTGCTTAGTATGAGCATGTCAGCTTTTGTTTTAAATGTTGTTTTTCTCTGATATAGCAAGTCACCAAAGGGGCACGGCACAAGATCATCATCAGTATTCAGAAGCTGAAAGACAGACAAAACATGCTACGCTGTTTGGAGAAGGTCAGAGCCTCTCTCTCTCCATGTCAGTTTATTCTGACTCATAGTCTTTGTTTTTGTGCACAGACCTATCAATCACAGTCTTTACATTTGCACTCATTCATACTGTGGTTACTTTTTCACTGTTTCAGATTTGGGTTTGAACCTTTAACCTTTCAGTATCCAGCCTAGATCTTTAACTGCAGTTCTACACTAAACCTCTGCCATTATAATTTTCACATGCACTTTTTATGTGTTAATTATTAAATGCCATCTAAGGACACAATATTCGAAACAACAAGAGACAGGAAGGAGCCAGATGTCTAATTTCAGAGCAACCTTTTCATCAAGCTTTCCATCTCGATGCATTTGTAGCATAAGAAATAAGACACCTCCTCCTGATAGTTGGGTCCATTTAAAGTTTTAATGTCTCGCATGTGTCGGCCCTGTTAAGAGTCGCACCGTGTGAAGGGGAAACAAACATGCTCGTATTTTTGGTAGACCTTCATTTTGTCCTCGCAAGTCATTTCCCGCCTCATTACATGTCTGAAATATCCCGACAGTTGCCCGTATGGAAGTGTCCAAAATAATACTGCACCACAACCTTGAATATAACAACTACGCATGCATCCACTCATTTGTCATCTCTCTCTCTTTCAGGATATTTTGGAGGGAGGGAATCTACGTGCTCCTTTGCAGGAGCTCCACCAAATCATCCAGACACCCATTAAAGCCTGCAGCACAGGGGAGTCTTCACAGCGCCACCTGCTGAGCGCAGAGGGGAAGAGCAGCATGGCCAGTTCCCACCTGGGCGGAGGAGAGACGGAGGGCAGCTCCACGGTCATATCCGACGGAGACATCCCTGCTCAATTCACTCGCGTCATGGGCAAAGGTTCACACGTAGTTCTTCCCGTAATCTGAGAATAATTTGAAGCTGTTAGGAATGTTTAGGTCATCAGGTTTAAGCCATTTCCAAACAACTTTATCTTACAGACAGAAAAATGGGTCAGAAGATGTCAGACAGAGATTATGTATTTTACTTCCCTCTTGTTGAGTTTTCCATAGCCATAGCAGATTAAAAGTAATATAGTTTGGCCATTGTCTTAGAAGTTTACTTTAACTCTTTCTTTCTGTTTTTGTGACAGTTTGCACACAGCTCCTTGTCTCCGGGTCAGATGAGGAGAACATTAGTTCCTACCTACAGCTTATTGATAAGTGCCTAATCCACGAGGTGAGTGTTCATGAAATCCAAATAGCCATTAATTCATTTATTAATACATGAAACTTCTTGGTCTTATTGTGGAAAATTCATCCGCTTTATATTATTCCCAATGGATTCAATCAAGTCCTTACTTGTTGAATATCCTGTTCCACTCAGAAAAATGTCACACAATGGAAGTAAAATAGTTAGTGAACCAGTGTTGTTATTTTTAACCAAAACTAGTTTTTCGGTAATTAAAGTAAAGCTGAAATACCTTAATCGAAAATTAGAAATGTTGCCTTGGCAACCAACTGAAATGTTCAAGTCAAAACATTAAAATTACTAAAACTAAAGCAGAGATAAAAATAAAGCTAAATAGAAATATACCGTAAATTTAAAAAAGCACAGAAAAATTACAAAACTGAAACTAAAATGAAAATAAAAATGGATAATATAAAAGTAAAATCTAACTCAAAATATTAATAAATACTATAATATTTTATATATGTATATTTACAGTCATCTTATCAGGAAGATTCCAGATTTTGAAGAGTGTATCAGATAAAAAAAAATATTTCAGATTTTAGGGAGTATGCTATCATTAGCATATAAATGATGCCAGCTAATAAATGTAAACTTAAATTCACTAAACATTAATTTTGATTTCATGATGTTTAAGCCATTTATTAGGTGCTTTTATCCAAATTAAGTTTCTGATGTGAGACTATCGAGGTCAGCAGATGGTGAGCATACAGTTCCCTTTTCTGGTTTGTGTTATCCTTATTATTGAAACTGCTGAACAAATTACATGCTAAATTTGAGAATAAGCAGACATAGTCCCATTAAGCACGGATCAGTTATGAGGTGTAAAGTATGTTGAGCAGTGTTGAGCTGGAATGGAAATCTTGAGTCTCTCACTTCTCTGATGTCTCACTTCTCCCACCTCTCACAGGCCTTCACAGAGACGCAGAAGAAGAGGTTGTTATCATGGAAACAGCAGGTGCAGGTGCAGTTCCGGTCAATTTCACGGAAAACTCTCCTTGACCTAACAGGACAGAGAAGAAGGTAAAGTGGATTTTGGAAGTAGGGATGTGACCGAATAGTGAATCCGTATTCGGAAAGGCACGGAAAACGAATGACACATTCTATGGAATGTCGTATTTATTCCCTTTAGGTGTTCTGTAGTACATGTCATCTCCGATGTCATTATTCGGATTCTGGCACATGCCTATTTGAAAGTCATGGTTAGAATCAAGGCACAATTTCACATTCTTGTTCTGCTGAGATTCTGTCCGTTTAGGTCCTATGATAAGACCATGATACTGTAAATGTAATTCCAAAATTAACAATATTTTGAACACGTTGCTCTGACATATTTAAGCCCTTTGGGCTAATATTACTGAAGTTTTAACCCTCTTCATCTAAAAATACACATGCACATTTAAAAAAAAAATCCATTGTTATCCAAGATATTCTAATTGGAGTTAATTCCACATCAATCAAAACATGTTGAAAACATGCATGAAAAATACACACACAAAAAATGGTGCTTTTACATCTATCAAAGAATTTTAGCTTGTGAAAATCTATTGCATTTATTCATGTTTAAATGCCTCCCTGAGACACTATGGAGGACTTTTGAAACATGAAGTAGAAATTGTGTTTATAAATTTTTATCAAATTAAAACTACTTAAAGTATCAACCTGATATCAAGCATTTCTTGTAAATAGGAATATTCTTCAAATTATTATATGACATTCTGGAATACTTGATTTTGATTGGTCATTTTATGTGAAGACAACAAAGCTATCACTGTGATGTTTTCACATAAAAAAATGATTTCAGCAATTTAATTTGTTAAGTAGCTGTGTATTAAGTGGGATCATGTACAGTCAGATAATCATTATTGCAAAATAAATTGCTTTTGTAATAATGGCATTTGACTGTACATTATCCTTCACATATTTATAAATGATTGAGTACATTTCAGTGGAAGATATTCACCATGACAGCTGTCATCTGATTAACAGAGCAGTGTTTCCCGACAAAAACAGGTCTGTTGCTCAATTTGACCGAATTACATCATACAGTGGACTGAGGCAGGCATTAGCCAAGAACAGTCCTTTTGAGGTTAACTCTGTCAGATACATTGATTAATTTTTTGGATGGGCGTCTGTATTATTGCCATCTGTGTTTTTATTTATTGGACAAAGACTTTAATGATGTTCGGATACCACAGACCACACAGATGTGTTTAGGACCATGAGTCACGGTTTTCCGTCACTCCCTACTGGATTGCATCATGGTCTGAAAATAGAGCATATGATACTTAACAAGAATCTCTTATTTTATGCCACAGTATGAGGCATTGCGGACCTCTACATCATTGGTTCTCAACCTTTGTAACTTTAAAGTTCCCCATTGTCAAAGTCAATACTAAAAGGCCCTCCTACATAGACTCTCATTTTTCCTCTTGTACTTCTGCCAAAATGATACCAAAAACTGGAGTTTGTTTTCAAACAAACTAAGCCTGTCAAGATTTTTAAGTAACTTAAAGAAACAAAATTTGGAAAGGAAACATAATATGAATAAATGTCTTCGAAAGAAATATACTAAATATATCTACACACACACACACACACACACATATATATATATATATATATATTAAATCACAATTTAAAACATCAAAGTGTATATATATATATATATATATATACACAAATGTGTGTGTGTATATATATCTATATATATTGCATTATTATTATTAATTCAGCAAATATATTATACTGTATTATATATTTCAATATATAAATATTTATTTATTATAAATAAAAATTAAATTTGTTTAATAATTTTAAAACTTTTGCAATTGCTTTCTCTTTCTATAATATTATCTGAGTGGTATTTTAGGACACTGTCTGTTTCATTTCAGCAGTCGTTACGGTCAGTCCAACTCCCTCCCAACCACGGGCTGCGTAGGCAGCAGCGTTCCCACCCGGAGGAACCTGCGGCAGTATCAGATGCGGAGTTTGCCTGGTGTTAGACCCGTCCTTTTGAGTACCACCGGCCTGTTCGGACCAACCCCCCGAAGCAGCAGCAGCACTCCAACCGGCCTGAAGCAGGGAAGACAGGTTTGTCATTTCACAAACAACACCGAACCCCGAAGCATAAATGACTCTATTACCACTTCAAACTGAAGGGAGCTCTAGTTTTTGAAGTGGATGGAGCTGGAGGCAATTTACAACATTCCAGACATCCTACATCATTGTTGAATGGAACAACTGAGGATCGGGTTTTGGAAGCGTAGTGATAACCTGGCATTCTTGCATGTCTGCTCAAACATTTTTCTAGGCACGCTTACAGTGGGAGGAAGTTCCAGCTGCCTCTCTGGTTCAGAGTCTGTGGACGGTGGATTTTAGGTGCGCGAAACAGCTGATGAGTCATGTGTGGGGAGAAGTGTGCCTGGAGGGAGGAGAGCGAGAGGGGAGGGGAGAAAAGAAGAGGAGAGGAGAGAAAGAAAGAGAGAGTGAGAGAAAGGGAGGGAGCTAGTCAGAGGCAGTGAGAACAGTGCACAGGCATTTCCTGTTTTTCCCTGCTCCTCTGTACGGGAGGGCCAGAAAAGGGGGAGAGGGAGTCAAATGAAGGGAGTGAGAGAGTGAATGAAAGTCGCATACGCAGGTTAGAAGAACTTATTCACATCAGATCACTACATGAATGGATGAATCTTACAAAATGATCAGTTACGTGTCCCCCCCGCCATGTCCATTTATTACCATAATGCAAAAAAAAACAACTTATGTATATGTGTGTGCGTGTACATTTTAAAAGTTAAAAATGATTGTATTGCAGTAATGAGAATCATAATTAAGAATAATGTAAATTATAAAAAATAATGTAAAATACTGAAGTGGATTGCAGTAATTTTTTAGGTAAATATGCTTAACTATCATAAAAATGTCACAATGCCAAAAAAGTTTTAAAAAAAAATGTTTTTTTTAAATATATATACTGTTATAAATACTGTGAAACTGTTTTTCATGTATTATCCATTAGTTTAGTGAACTCACTTATTTACCAAGTCTATTATGTCAGTCCTAGTATTCACATGAGCACAGCTTATAGTATGATGTGATTGTAATTTGGCCGGCATGTGTGTTTTTGTGGTAGGGTTTGTGGTTTGCCAATCCAGGGGGCAGTAACAGCATGCCCAGTCGCACCCACAGCTCAGTTCAGAGGACCCGATCGCTACCCGTCCACACCAACCCACACACCATGGCCATGTTCCAGCAAACAGGTAAGAGACAAGAACTCAAACACACTGTAGCTTACAGTCTGGTCAGGCAAAGTTAAATTACCATAATTTCTGACACAAAAACCCCCAGATGACTTAAAAAAGGCAACTGTTTGAAAAAAGTTGCCCTCCAGTTAAGGAGCTCAGAGGTAAAAATGCATGTAAACGAAATGCCATCTGATCTTGATAAACTTTCTCTTTTGTGTGTGTTTTTTTGTTTGTTTTGTTTTTTTGCTGTGAATGAAAATCAGTAATCAACTTGTGTGCAGTACATTGTGCTGCATTAAAAATAATTAGAATATGTATGTGCAAGTTATAACACACTTCCTGTTTCTGTTTTTTCACCATAAATTCATCGCCTCACCACGGCCAAACCGTTTGAGATATCAAAAATCCCTTCGCAATTTAGCATCCTTAATGTCTTGATATTGTCCATGTCTCGGTGGTGATTGGACGAAAAACCTAGGAAGAGTATTCATATGCGCTTTTTAAACAATCCAAAATAGCTGACTTCCTGTTGGGCGGAGCCAATGACATGCAGTGCGAAAGTTGTCCGGCTCAGTGAGATCTACAGTATATGTGTACGGAGTTTCATATGTATACGTGTAAATATGCACGAGATATGCTGCAAGTTTTTGGACTGTGTTCCAGAGGACGCCATAGCGCCTCTGTGCCACGCCCGGGTCCCAAGCTCAGTGGCATCCTAATGATTGCAGATGCCAACATGTGTGCCAATTTTCAAAAGTTTGAGCATGTCAAGACCCCCAAAAGCCCTGGATAGATTAAAAAAAATCCTTAGAAAAGCAATAAAATATATTTTTTGATAGACCTTTTTGGTCTGTGTATCTTTTAAGTGTGTGGACAGCACTTCCTGAATGTTGTGCATTATAGATTTAGATTTAAAATTGCATTCAACATGCTGATACCCCGATCATAAATATATTTCTGTGGTAAAATAAAACACTACAGAAGCATGGAATGGCTTACGTCAAGTTAAAAAAACATCATCAAATATTTGTTAGTGGTCAGACAGTTTTCTTTTTTCTGACTGAAACCATGTCACACATTTAAAGTTTTACGGCTTCTTTGTGCTGTGTGCTCCACTGACACACATTCAGAGCAGACAGATGTTCCTCTCAGTCTGTGGCTCCACTCTGACTGCAGCTGAAACTCACTTCCTTCAGTTTGCACCATTCTCATGGATTTACAGAAATACTTGTACCCTTTCGGAGAAGAAAGAGGAGCTGTGCACGAGACTCTGTACTGTGTTTTTGTGTAATAGGTTGCATGTTACAATGACTGTCTTTGTGCAGCATGCCTGCCACTTTTTCTGTCAGACTCATTCCCCCTCGTTTTCTCATTGCCACCCATCCAAATGTGTTCACATTAACGCCTTGATTAATTCAAAGGCATCAAAGAGGGAACACTGTGAGAGAGACTTGATGGAACTTACAGGATTTGCTGCTTAAAAATAGCAGGTCATCTGTTCCATCCAGCCAGTGGTTGCTTAACTCAGCTCTTCCTTCCCACAAGGGATTTTCAAAGGCCTGTTTGCTGTTGACTCAGCTAAAGTAAGGGCCAGCCCAGCCCGAGCAGCGCTGCTGGAGCCCTGAGCAGTCAGAGCCTGGCCCACCGAGACTGAAGCTACTCTTTAGAAAAGAGCTCACACTGTAGGCCAGTGTACTACTGAGGGAACTATGAACACAATCAGTTCAGTGCAATTTGCAAGCATAATGGCAGTTTGAAAATCGAGGTCGCAATTTGGAACTATTGATCAATTGCAGTATGATGACAAGGATGTGAATGAGACACTCTGATGAGAGGTTTGAAATGCATCTTTGTTTGCAGCCCTCATTTGAATTGTCATGTGTTGTGTATTGTCATAACTTGTTAAAGCTGACTCAGTTTGTTTGTCATTTTGCAGATTTACAGGTGCCTGTGACTGAGCCTGACATCAATAACCGTTTGGAGTCTCTGTGTCTCAGCATGACTGAACACGCTCTGGGAGGTACATGTCCACTTCTTGCTCAGTTTATAAATACTGCACTTAAAGGAATATCTCACCCCAAAATGAAAATGACACCAATTTAAGTTTTTTTAAAGTTAAAAAAAAAAAAAAAAAATTTTGGAAGGAGCCTGACATCAATAACCGTTTGGAGTCTCTGTGTCTCAGCATGACTGAACACGCGCTGGGAGGTACATGTCCACTTCTTGCTCAGTTTATAAATACTGCACTTAAAGGAATAGCTCACCCCAAAATGAAAATGACACCAATTTAAGTTTTTTTTTTAAAGTTTTTTTAAAAAAAATTTTTTTTTGGAAGGAAATTAATAATTTTATTTAGAAAGGATGCATTAAATTGATCAAAAGTGACAGTAAAGATATTTGTCACTTTCTATTTTAAGTGTTTTGAATTTTCTATTCATCAAAGAATCCTGGAAATAATGTATCATCACATTTTCCACAAAAATATTAAGCAGCACAACTGTTTTAAACATTGATAATAAAAAAAATGTTTCTTGAGCAGCAAATCAACATATTAGAATGATTTCTGAGGATCATGTGACACTGAAGACTGGAGTAATGAGACTGAAAAATTCAGCTTTGCCTTCACCGGAATAAAGCACATTTTAATGTTTATTACAATAACAACAGTTGTTTTAAACTGTAATATTACAGTTAACATAAGAAACCTCGTTCAAAAAAATCTTTAAAACCTTTTTTCACTATGTTATGCGACGATATTAACGTCGATCTCTGAGAACAGAAACTACTTGTCTACTAGTAGTATGTTACTATGTTATCTGAAGATATTTACACGTTTTGGTGTCTGAATAATACTCAAAACTCATCTTTTGGTATGAGCTAATGAATGAGGATGTTTCTAGTATTGCATAATGTTTGTTTAACAATCTGTGCGAGAAAATCTTCAGATTTTATCCCCAATCCATGAGAACGGAATTTGAGGAAATGGTTTGGACCTATGCTGACTATGGCAGGATCATGAAACCCCACGGGACAGTTTCTGTTTGGAGCATCCCGTCTGACACTCATTCAAAAGGTCAAAAGGCCTTTTGAAATCCTTTGTTTTCCTTTGAAAATGTTCAAGGGTTCCACAACATTTTGGTGGAACTTTTTGAGGTGCTTCTTTGGTGGGAGCTTTACACAACGCATCAGACACAACAATCTTCAAAAGAGAAAATATTGTGACTATCAGTTTCAGACAGGAAGGATATATCATCACTTTGATAGGATGCAGCATTACTTTGTATCCACACGCCACGGGATCAGTGCAGTGAGCATTCCCATGTGAAGTGGAGGTTTTCTTTGCATAAAGAGTGTTTTTTCTCTCAGGGCTGACACACAGAGGCTTTCAGTGCAGTGGGCTCGGCGCTGGACAAGCACAGCTTTGTGTTGGGGGAGTGCAGGGAGACAGACAGGAGAGAGGCAGGCAGACAGGTTGGATCAGGGAGACGGGCAGAAGCAGTGGGCAGCTCTGCGGTGAGCTCAGGAATGCCCTGCTCGCTCCACAGCTGCCAACAGAGCCCGTAGTGTTCTTGTGGCAACGTACCCCTAGACTTTCCCCCCTCAGGACCTCCACCTCCTCTGGTCAGCAGCCTGCCTGGGAGTTTTGTGTGCCCTCATTACGCAGAATGAGACTGCTTCCTCTTTGAAACTGCACGGTTGGGAAGTCCAACTCATTTTAAATAAACCAGAAGCAAAAAAAAAACAGGACTTCCCAGAAGTCCTGTGCAATATTTTCTAGGAAGCTATATAAGTTACACTACTATTCAAAAGTTTAGGGTCAGAAAATGTTTTGTTTTGTTTTTTTTTGAAAGAAATTAATACTTTTATTCAATTAATACTTTTATTCAAGGACACATTTAAGTGCAACATTGTTTCTAGTAAGTTATATAAGTTACATTACTGTTAAAAAGATTAGGGTAAGGACATTTTTATATTTAAAATATTGTAAAGTTACAAAACCGTTCAAAGGTTTCGGCTCAGTATGTGTTTTTTTAAAGAAATTAATACTTTTTGTTCAGCAAGGGTGCAATTGATCAAAGTGATATAACTGTTTCAACACTGATAATAATAATAAATGCTTAAGCAACAAATCAGAATATTAGAATGCTTTCTGAAGGATCATGTGACACTGAAGACTGAAGTAATGATGCAGAAAATTTTGCTTTTAGCCTATTTATTTATATTTTAAAAATATTCAAATAGAATAAATAGTAATAATACTTCACAATATTACTGTTTTGACTATTTTTGATCAAATAAATCCAGCCTTGGTCAGCATAAGTGACTTTAAAAAACATAAAAACACTTTTGACAGTGATATGTGTGAATGAAAATGACAAAATGTTCATTTTTGGGTGAAAGGTTCCAGAAGTGTTTCAGAGTTTCACTTGATTGTGTCGATGTCACTTGTTTCCATAGATGGCGTTGATCGAACTTCAACCATCTGAGAGAAGAAAAGGGGGCGCACAGGGAGAAGGCATGCCTGGCAGCAGGGGAAAAGGTCATCACGAGGTCACGAGCCTCTCTGCCTATAAACTCCCCCCCTCCACCTGCTCGCCTACCAACGCCAAATAGCCAATAAGAGACGTGGGGCGTGGTCTACACAGTGCCAGTCACCATTTTCTGAAAGGATTAACACAAGCAAGTTCTGTCACTATGACTACTTCAGCGTGTTTACATTCGAGTTTGGGAGGAAATCACATCTTCAGCACTTCCTTAGAACGCCGCAAAGGGTCTACGTGTCGACAGGCCATTAGAGGGGGTCCGTAACGCAGCGGAGACAACTCAAAGCATTCAGGTGGCGGTCTGGGACGTCACAAAATCCAAACCAACCAGTAGACGAAACCAGATCAAGACGTAGTTACAGATTCGATTTCTGTGCCTCTGTGCAGATGCGAAAAATGTTACGTCATAGTATGTTTACACGTAATACTGTCAAGAAAATCAGAAGTCATTTTTTTTCAGGTGCGAGCGTTGTCAAAATCCGAGGACGGTGTACAGCTTTAGGTTCCCAAATGGCTTCATACTAGTTTACAATTGTGTTTGTATTTATTGTTTTGTTGTTGTAGTTTTCTTTTGAGCCAGCAGGAAAGCTGATTTACAACACTACAAAGACAGTAAGAGCTACGGATGGTACTCGGAAGAAAGAGAGGGAACGTGAGAGCAGCGATGGGAAAGGAAACAGGAAGTGTAGAGGGAGCGAGGAATGTCGTACATGGATTCTGACGTAAGGAATAGTAGAGGGAGATCAGGAGGTCAGAGGAATATAGGAGAAATGCCAGCAAATGCAAGTAGATGGAAAGGTTGAAGAGGAGCAGGTGAACATGTGGGTTCAGAGGTAAGCAAGTCCAGACAGAATATGCAGAAATATATCAAATAATAGAAATCATTTTTATTAAAATGTATATACGTTGTTATTTAAATATATTTTAATATATTTAAATTGAAATATAAATAAAATATTTTAAAATATATTCATTTAAATAACATTTTATATATAAATGACAATTAAAGTGAAATAAAATACATTGAAATAAAAATTATTTGTATGTATTAAAATTTGTAGTAAACGTGGTAAAATGTCTGAAAGCATAAACACGCTTGGGAGAAGTGTACAGCTTCATGAATGATGTTCGTTCAGATACTGTGGGAATCTGGAGATTTTTACGGATTCCGTGTGGGCCTGGAGAGGAAAATGTTTTACAAAGGTTTTTTTTGGATCTGTAAATGCACAGCTGTAGATTGATTTAGTGATTTTGGGTAGATTACAGGTGTCATATGGAGGGTATTTGGGATATCACATGCGTGGTACACTGTGTCAGTAAACTGTTGGAGCAACAGGGAGAAATATACAGTATGTATGAGGAAAAAACACTAATGCACCAGTTACTAGTACAGAGCGCCATCTGGTGGTGAAACTGTGCAATAGTTACCATTAAATGAGGCTACAGTCTTTTTTACAGTATTGTCTTAATATCAGCCATTAGTTAATCATGCCAGGTATAAAAAAATAAAAAATAGAACGTTTACAATAAGAAATGAGCTTTTAGTTTTAGACTCGTGAAGTGAAGATCTGATTTTCTGCATGGGAAGGGTCTGAAAGAGTATTTTTGCTTGAATTGTTTTAATCCGGGACATTAAAGTCCCTTTATGAGGGTGTTCAGTGATTGTTAATGTATCTTATTTAGAGTTTTTCCTATATAACTTTGCTTTTCCTGCCCTTGGTGCTGTGAATCCTTGCTGAAACCATCAAAAGTGAATTTGCAATAACGTGCAATAGACTCTTCATCAGCAGCATGGTCTGAATCAAACGGCTGAATCAAACTGGGGGTCCCGCAAAGTGGAACTGGACTAACAAACTCCGCCCTCTCCTCCAAATCCCCCACAATTCCCGAACCGCAGGACTATAGTATCCTGTACATCCTCGTGTGAAGGGATTCGCAGGCCTGCAACTTGATGCACCTACCCACACCTCAAGTGTTTTATGCTTTTTGGCTCATCCAAAGAAACCAGTCATGATTAAACAGACAGTAAAGAGGCACTTCACATCCGTTGAGTGGCGACCGACGCAGTTCAAGCTGCCTAAAAGAAAGAATATTGACTATGCAGTGTGTCGACTTCATAAGCGAGTTGGTGCCTCCAAACTATGTGCATGAAATGCCTTAAACGGAATGGTAGCCGGTGTTTTACAAGCATGTTAGCAAACCATCATGTGGCATCTTGTGCATCTTGTTTCTAGAGGTGCATTTATTTGTGTGTATTAAGCCACTCATCACTGCCATTTGAAAACAATTAGCAGATTCAAATGATTATTTATTCTTTTCTATTATTGATGCAGAGGTTATTGTATTCATTAGATGTATTATTTAAGATACCTTGTGTATTAACTTTTGCTATGGCTGGTAACCATAAGTACATCTCAAATAACAACCTAGTTATTTTTTGACGTTTTGTTTTCTCAATTTGCATTCTTTATCTAAAAAAAAAAAAACCTACCTGATAGTCAAAAGACATCAGTTTTTTGTTATGTTGTTTTAATATTGCTGTTTTCCTTTCTTTCTTGTATCTATAAATGCTTATATTTTGCTAACTCTATTCTGAAAAAGGGGTCTTGCTTTACCACGCTCTTTGAATTTTTCCCTATTGTTTATGATGTCTTTTTTTTGTTATTTTCAAGAGCCGATGTCCTGTATTGACTGCAGGCTGACGTACATATACATATATATATATATAAAATATATATATTTTAAAAGAATCCTATGTTTATGAAACGATAAAAACCAAATAAAAACCAAGAAAAATTAATCAAAACATAAATTTAAAAAACAACGTGAAAAAAGGTAATTTATATTTTAGAGATGCATGCAAGAGGCTGGGAAGTCATATCTAGAAAAACAAATGGCAGTGCCTTTTTTTTTTTTTTTTGTATTCAGACGTTTACCCCAAATGTAAATGTTTTCTATGGCTCTAAAATATAGAGATAAGCAGATGGTCAAAACTTCAAATCATACAAAGTCCATACGAGCTGATTCTGATGCGTTAGCTCGGAAGGAGCGTGGGAATCATGGGAATCTGTATGCTTTAGGTACTTCAGTGCTGTTATGAAGTTATGATTATATCTGTCTGTACAACACACAGATGTCTATATATATTTTTTGGCTTGTATGTGTGCGAGTGTGACACGGTGTATCCAGGTGAGAACCCGGATTGTCTTGTAATTTTTGTACATATACTTTCTCAGTTGCGTCATAACGTGGATGGCTTCGGCGGAGGCTGTGTTTCCGCTTCCTGTTTCCTGTGAGGCGTCACAGCTCGTGTTACACGTCTCTGCTCATCTTAGCGCAGGTTTGAAAAATCTTCACTGAAATGAACACGACTTTAGTCAATAAAGAGAGGGATTCTGCAAACTCGTTCCCTCTTTAGTTCGTGGCCTTGTGAGTTAACGGGAGATTATACTGTGTGTCTGTGATGTTCTGTCCGCCGACTGAATGTGTTTTTGTCTGTTTCATTGGGTCTGTGTTAAATGCTTGACATCTTTGTAATAACCACAGACGAAAAGTATTAAAGAGTAACTTTTGAAAAAGACTTCAGGTGGTTTTCTCATTTCAAAGCAGCTGTTGAATGGTAAGGAGGAAGCTCTGCTCATATATTCAGAGTAACGTTAAGAGTCTGTGAGGAATTTACTGCCGCCTCTCGAGCTCAACCAATCAGAGCTCGAGACAGGTTTTTATTGCCAAGAGGCGGGGCTTGCTGTGAAAAATGCTGAGTCACTCTCAACTCACTGTTTCATGAACATTTATGATGGGCCAATGCAAGTGTCACACAGATGGGCAGTGTTATTCATGGAAAATATTAGGAAGTGAAATTGGCTTTTTAATCCATAAATGATATAAAGATCATTAAAAGGTAGAAGTTCACCATGAAAATAATATCTTTTTTTTTTTTTACACACACACAAACTTTATAACTGGGCTTCTGCCACCTTGCTAAACCACTTTTAGGGTAGAAGGAAACTCGTAATTTTAACCCTAAAAGAAAGATATGTAATATTGTACTTAAAGGGGTCCTATTATGCTTTTTCACTTTTTTAATTTTAGTCAGTGTGTAGTGTGTATGTTTGGGCATAAAAAAGATCTAGACAGTTACAAATCTCAAAGTCCACTCCAAAGCATAGTACACCCCCAAAACAAAATCAAGACTTTGTAAAAGAGCATAATAGGACCCCTTTAAAGGGGAAAAAAACGTTCACATTTATTTTTATTAGCATTTATTTAATATGCAGTAATTTCACAATAAGCATATTTCCCCTGCTCAGGTTGCAAATTTTCATTAAAGCAAATTAAAATAATAATACAAAAACAAATAAAACCCCCTCAGTGATCCTTAGGTTACAAGATACAAATGGTATATATAAACTGTAAAACATAAAAAAACCTAACTATTTTAACTTGTGTCTTACAATAATGAGAAAGAGATTTTCTTAACATTACAATAATGCGAATTTGTGAGGCTAATGTCCTTTAACTGTCTTGAAATTCCTGTTATAATGCGAAATTACTTTTGATTTTGGGGTGAAATAGGACATTTGTGAGATCCACCCTTTAATGTTTATCGTCCTTTGCTTTCTACCAATCCCCCTTCAAAAAAAAAAGGCACCTTTAAAAATAACAAGAACATTTGAACATTTTACACACATTTTTTTTTATTTTAAGCTGAAAATGTTGAAGAACATCAATAGTAAGTATTTGAAAGGCTCTTTGAGTCTTTCGTTTAAAGAAGGCCACATGAATAACACGAGACTTCTCAATATCAAGTGCTCATTTTCTTGATGAATCCACTGATATGAAGCGATTGTGACATTGAACATCTCAGAAACCGTCTGGCTCAGAGTTTCATCTCAACTCATGGATGCAGAACATCACTCAAGCAATGTTTCATCATTTTAAAAAAAGTCACTACACAGGCAATACAACAGTATCAGTAAATCCACAGTATCCATTGTTTTTGAGGTTAATATAATTTTCTACAATGATACATAAGTACATAGTTTAAATTCTAACTCAAAAACACATTATACATACCCAAGGACAGGTAAACATGCATCAGAGTAAACATATAAAATATGTTCTACAAATGTAAAATCTTAAAATATCTTTTAGTTGGTTTCCATCTTTTTTTATTACAAAGATCACATTAATCAGTACAGCGATGTTCTGTATTCTTCATACTGTAAGTGAATCCCACAATGTGCAAAATCAGATACTAAGTTGACCTCGACTGCACCTTTCACCTTTGGTCTTTTTTCTAACAAATAAAAGACGACCTTCAGAGAGTAAACAACATCTACGGCCACACAGACGGGACATTCAGAAGGCTGGAGCTGGTTATCACTTCAACACAGAACATCCAACACATCAGACTCAACAGCTGATTTTAAAGATAGAATAATAGTGTTGCACAAAACGTGTAAATACCATCAACGATGAGCCCAAATAAACACTTAAACAGACAGTTCACCTAAAAATGCTAAATCTGTTATCATATACTCACCCTAGTGTTGTTTTAAACCTGTATGACTGTCTTTCTTCTGCTTAACACAAAAGAAGATAACTGAAGAATGGCCGTTTTTGTCCTTACAATGAATTGTCTGATAATTGTAGCACTGTCCCCCTTCAGGTTGTGGTACATCGTGTCTTTTTGCTGTGAAATATTTACTCATTTCTATAAAGTAAATGTAAGAATACATTTTAAATTGCTAGTCATTTTTCAAGATAATCACATACTGGACTGAAGCAACTTAGGTTTAATTGCTTATCCATGCAATAATATAATATGAAAAATCATTAAAATTTGATTATTAATTATGATACATCAGGCTTTTGAGCAACATTTATTTATACGTCTCTTTATCATCATTGGATTGCATTGCATTATATGTTTTCATGTAAATATCATTTTACAAAGACATTTTTGGGAAATACTATACAAAGTGACAACAGATATTTATATGCATGCAAGGTATGCAAGCCATCTACTATAAGATCTCATTCATTTACACTACAAATAATCAGAATTTCAGCTTACTTTTTGGCCATATAATTATCTGAAACTGCACCAAACTGCATATTTTCACTCAGTCTGGACTTCTGATGTCTTTTTTCCTCCTTGAATATAAGCTCCATAAAATCACCCTCTATCATCTTACTGGGTAACATGATAAAAATTGTACATTTAAATTGTAAAACATTTATTTGTAACATTACAATAAGGTGAGGGTAATTTGCTTAAACTGTCTTAAAAGTCATGTAATAATGTAAAAACGGTCTTAATATTTTCACTCAATTTGGGCCTCGGAATAAAATTGAGGGTTTTAATTTATTACATATTTTCCTATATTATACTATATGTGACCCTGGAGCACAAAAGCAGTCTTAAGTCGCTGGGGTATATTTGTAGCAATAGCCAAAAATACATTGTACGTGTCAAAATTATAGATTTTTCTTTTATGCCAAAAATCATTAGGATATTAAGTAAAGATAATGTTCCATGAAGATATTTTGTAAATGTCCTACTGTAAATATATTAAAACGTATTTTTGATTAGTAATATGCATTGCTAAGAGCTTCATTTGGACAACTTTAAAGGCGATTTTCTCAATATTTTGATTTTTTTATGCACCCTCAGATTCCAGATTTTCAAATAGTTGTATCTCGACCAAATATTGTCCTATCCTAACAAACCATACATCAATGGAGAGCTTATTTATTCAGATTTCAGATGATGTATAAATCTCAATTTTTAAAAAATTGACAGTTATGACTGGTTTTGTTGTCCAGGGTCACATATGAGCCATAAAAGCCGGATGTATCAAATATAATACTCAACAAAAAACACGAATATGTAACTTGTATGTAATATGTAATATGTCAGGTTTAAGGCACAAACATGTTTGGATAACATGAGGGTGAGTAAATATGGACACGTTTCATTTTTGGATGAACTATCCTTTCAAGAGCAGATGATACTTTGGGTCTGGGCACAATTACTGACTGATGCACAGGACACATACATTATATTAAATATTACATTATAAGACAGCGTAGCCATAATACATTTTCAGCACATAGTAAAACAACAATAAAACCAGTCTGGATTAATTCACTTATAAAAAGTGGTGCTTTGTAATACTAGTTTTTTTGGGGGACATGTACCATTATAATATCATAATAATCTTTGAAGTACCTTGTAAATATCAAGGTGTATGAATAATATTGGTAATCATTTAGTGGTTATATTCATTACCATTACCGTACCATTGTTCCTCAACAGTACTTTTATGTAGTTCAAACTGTAAAATATTGGAATATTCAGAATGACATGCACCTCCTGTTCAGAAGCGTGAAAATAAAACCACTTTGTTGCGTATTTCAAGCAACTCAATTGCGTTTAATAGAGCGCAAATGTGACACAACCGGAAAGAGATATAAACAAATTTTGTCAGTTTAGAGAGGTCAAATTGTGCTAATCTAGGACGTCCTTCAAAACACAATGCTTCCATATAACAGTAATAGCCACAGTCCCGTCAATAGAGGCTCCCACAGCTCTACTGACTAAACGTGCACAACACACACACACACACACACACACACGTGATACAGAAGAGAAGGTGTTACCTATGTGACCATGCCAGAGGAGGGTGGGACACTATGTTACACAGCAGCAGTGCCTCGTCCGGAGGCAGAACCAGAGATGACTCCTTCGATCCAGTGAGGCGTTTGAGAAGAGGGCTGGTCAGAGTGTTTTGGCAGTGGAGAGCGAACACGGACCCTCTCAGCTCCGGATCAGGGTCAGGAACTCGTCTCGTGTCTTGGGGTCCTCGCGGAAAACGCCTAGCATGGTGCTGGTCACAGTCTTGCTGTTCATCTTCTGGACACCTCGCATAACCATACACATGTGACTGAAGAAGACCAAAGAGAAGAAATACATCTTGAGGATTGCTCATACTAATTACATTGAATAAATCAATAACATTTTGCGGATTGTCGATACTTATTGCATTGTAAAAAAATAAAATAGAATAAATCTTGAGTATTGTTCATGCTTATTACATTGTAAAATTTAATTAAATTAAATAATAAAATCTAACTTGTGACTGGAGAACAATAAAGAAAAGAAATACATCTTGATATTTGGTCTTTCTTAGCATTACATTGTAAATAAAATAAAACAAAATACTTAACTTGTGGAGAAGAAATACATCTTGAGGATTGCTCATACTAATTACATTGAATAAATCAATAACATTTTGCGGATTGTCCATACTTATTGCATTGTAAAAAAATAAAATACAATAAATCTTGAGTATTGTTCATGCTTATTACATTGTAAAATTTAATTAAATTAAATAATAAAATCTAACTTGTGACTGGAGAACAATAAAGAAAAGAAATACATCTTGATATTTGGTCTTTCTTAGCATTACATTGTAAATAAAATAAAACAAAATACTTAACTTGTAAGCAGAGAACTGTTAATAGAAGAAATAAAACTTTGTATTTGGTCATTCTTAGCATTATATTGTAATTAGAAAGTTTAACTTGAATTTGACATACGT